CGAATGGTCCATCAAGTAGGAACTATCAGTTAACCAAATTAAATGCGCTGTTCTAACAACGGGTAGCACTGAACCGTACGGTGTATCCCACATTGGTGGGTTTCTTCTCAAGAATATCACCTACGAGAGGGATCTCGGGGTTATCTTGACTCCTGACCTAAGGACGGCGCAGGACACGTTGAAGAAGGTGGTCAATGGACGGAGACTGGTGGGTGCCTTAAGAAGATAATTCGCTCGAAGGAGTCCTATGCTATTCGACATTTATACTGTTATAAGCTTCTCACTAGATGCAATTCCAAAAATAACAATTTACGGCTCCACAAAACTTCGAGCCCAACCGAAGGAAAAAGCAAAACGCCAATGACCTTGCCAAAATAACGTATTAATCGCCGTCAACGAACACTGTACAATGACTGCGGACCTTGGCTGTAGTTATAGATCTCTACTGACCTTCGACTTCTAGAGCTGGAAGGGCAACTGCCAAGGTCAGTGGTTCCCCATGTCTTTTGCCGAGGGGTCAGGTGGATTTTAATCACGTGCAGAAGAAGAACATTCCGAAACGTTTGAGATCGATACGATAAGCGTTAATAATCGATTTATCGCTTATATAGTGAATTTCTAAGGCAATTCTTGCTTTCTCCCGGACAAATCCCCTCCTGAGATATCGTCCGAGGTATAAGACGAAAGCCTAGGATTAACTTGCAGTCTTCGGGACGGTGTTCTATGCCTGTCGATCGACCTCCTTGGCAGAAGCGCCCGAGAACTTTGTTCCGATGTTCTTGTTCTGGATTCTTTGCTCGACTGTGTGCGGTCGTCCATTGATTCCTTTGGCAAGTTGGAACTTTCCACCAGTAACTCGAGCGGCTGGTCAGTAGGCCTTGCTTGTTGTGGTCGGCAAGATGTGGGCCGTAACTGGTTTGCATGCCGTGGCCAAAGCTGTGAGCCTACCGGCACGTCATACATAACCTTTCCGCGCCTGCTCTTGACCGTCCCTGGCGCCCATTTTGCAGGGCCTTCCCGGTAGTCACGTATTAGCACCTTCTGTCCAAGCGTAAAAGATTGCTTCTTTGCTCCATGCCACCGGTTAAAAGCCTGTTACATTCTGCGGTTTCTTTCACCATTAGAGGACTCCGAGCCCGGTCGGATGGCGTCGAAAGGCGTGCGGAGCTTCCGGTTCATCATGGCCTGTGCTGGAGAGATTCCGTCTGGCGCTTGTGGATTCGGGGTTGATCGGCAGAGGAAAAGGAACCGGTCAAATTCCTTCTATATACGTCTCTCTCCTTTTGATTTGTGGAGAGCTCGCCTGAATGTATCGACAAACCTTTCCGCCTGGCCATTCGACTGTGGATGAAACGGCGGCGAGCGAACGTGCTGTAGGGCGCATCGCTTGAAAAACTCCGTAAACGTTACTGAGGTAAATTGTGAACCATTGTCGGTGACAATTGTCTAAGGACAGCCGAACCTGCTAAAGGTTTGGTGCAGTTTCGAGGTGGCGGCATTGGTGGTTGTGTTATCTATAAGAAATACTTCAGGCTACTTGCTGTATGAATCGACTATAATGAGGAAACGTCGGCCGTTGATCGGTCCAGCAAAGTCGACGTGGATTCGGCGCCATGGCTAAGAAACTTTTGGCCATGAATACAGTTCCGATTTTTCTGGCGCTTTCAAGACATTGGCACACCTTTGGCACCATTAATCTATTTCTTCTAGCTGTTTGTCCATGGAGAGCCAGTATACATAACTGCGGGCAAGCGCCTTCATCCGGTTGATTCCAGGATGCCCGGCGTGAAACTGCCGAATAAGGCGCGCCTGAAGTGCCTTGGGGAGGGCCACTCTTTCGGAAAATAGTATGCAGTCGTTTACAATAGAGAGCGTGTGTCTCTTCTGAAGGTACTGTTGCAACTCGGCAGATGGACATGAACGTGGCCAACTTGTTTTGTGAAATCGTGTAACCTTCTTGAATATTGGATCCCGAAGCCGTCCGATTCGTACAGCTGCGGCGGTGACTGGTAGACCGTGCAATGCATCCGTTACCAGAAAGTTGACGTCATGTTCAAACTCGAACGAGGCCATGATTGTGTCTTCATGTTCTTGCCAACGGGCATCAATTAGGCGTGACAGTGCATCCGCTTGGCCAATGGATTCTGTGGACTGGTATTGGATATCAAAATCATACCCCATTAAGTTAAGAGCCCAACGTTGTAGCCGGTCGTCTGCATAGGCCAGGATACCTTTTTCGAACCAAAGATAGCCAGCAAGGGCTTGTGGTCTGTCAGAAGCTTGAAGCGGCGGCCATATAGCATTTTTTGGAATTTCTTGTCTGCGTACACTATGGCCAATGCTTCTTTCTCAATCTGGCTGTAATTCTTCTCGGCCTTCGTAAGTGTTCTTGCGGCATGGGCGATTGCCCTCTGAGATCCATCAGCGTACGTGTGATATTACTGCACCAATCCCATGGATTGATTTATCTGTGGGCAGGACGATCTCTTTGGAGGGATCAAAATGAGTCAACAGCAAGTTTTAGGATAGCGGTGACTTAACGCGTTCGAAGGCATTCTGGCATTCTGAGGTCCAGTTCCAGCTTTGGCCTTTGGCTAGTAGCTCGTTTAACGGGGCACGCAGGCGGTGCATCTCAGGCAAGAATGTGCTGTAGTAGCTGATGAGCCCACAAAAGGAACGCAAGGAATGTTGATCTGAAGGCGCAGGCATTTTTCTAACAGCTTCTATGTTTCCGGATCTGGTCGACGTCCGTCCTTTTCGAGGATAAAACCGAGGTATTTGAGAATCGGCGTGAAAAATGTGCATTTATCCTCACGGATCCAGAAACCGTACGACTGTATGCAACCAAGCACCTCATCCAGTCGGTTAAACAGTTCTTCCGGTGTTCGGCCCATCTCTATGATGCCGTCCAGATATGCAGCGGTTCCAGAAACGCCTGCTAGCATAGTGCCCATCAACCTTTGGAAGATGGCTGGCGCCGTTTTCATACCAAATGACAAGCGGTTGTATTGGAATAGCCCACGATGAGTGTTGATCGTCAACAACTCCCTCGAGACATCGTCGACATCCACTTGCAGATAAGCATCGGATAGATCAAGCTTAGCAAAGTACTTACCACCATGCAACTTTGCAAAGATATCCTCCGGTACAGGTAATGGGTACTGGTGGTTGTCCAGCGCTGCGTTGGGGTCAGTTGAAAAGTCAGCACAAACGCGTACCTTGCCATTTGATTTATTCACTGCGACAATAGGTGCGGCCCATGATGAGTAGTTGACGGCTGTGCTGACTCCGGCCCGTTCCAGTTGATCGAGCTCTTGCTCAACGGTTGACATGGCTGCATATGCTACCGGTCTTTTGGCCTTGAACACAGGTTTAGCACCTGGTCGCAAGTTCAGTGTCGCTTTGAATTTTGTACAATTACCCAAGCCATCCTGAAAGGCAGAAGCAAATTTCCTCTTCAGGGTAAGTGTCATATCGTCGACGGACTTGATGATGAGTCTGGACTTGCTCGAACTCGGTTGCAGATCTGATTCAAGGGAACATCGTGGAGATACAACTTTTCAGTCCAGTCGAGGCCAAGAAGATTCAAATTGGGTTGGTCTGAAATGCAGCATGTTCCCGACTATTCCACACCTTGGAAAACAATCTTGCAATTGAGTTCGCGCACTAAGGTTAACACATCGCCGGATGCATTATTTGCAACTTTCTGCGAATCGACAATCTTCGGCCTGCTTATGGATTCCATGTGCTCCTGTAAATAATCGTGATGTCCGACCCCGTGTCAAATTGCAGTTTCTTTGGGATCCCATTGATTAACACAGTGATGAATCGTCGTCTCGGTTTACAATTGCTTTGGAATGCGGCAACTATGTACAGAGACTCAGTGCCATCCTTCCTAGAATTCCGCTTCCGATAATAATTCTGCACTTGCTTCTACCGGACCTGACTGCAGAATTCCTCTTTATGCCCACGCTTATGGCACGTTTGACAAATATGATATTTGAAGGGACAAAAGCGGGCGAAATGCCATTCGCCGCATGACCAGCATGCTGTGTGCGGTTTGTTCGCAGGCCTCCTGAAGGGTTTGCTTGCGTTGGCGGTCCCCGCCTATTATACGATTTGCACGGTATCTGGTGGTGCGAGACTTTGCGTTCGACCATGGCAGTGTCGTGTTTTAGAGTGAGCAGACGTTTGCATTCGCTTACGAGGGCCTTCAGTGCCAGGTCAGGATCCTGCTCCAGCTTAGCTAAAAGTCGCGTGCGGATCTCAGCAGCAATGTGCGATTGTAGGTCGCTGACGAAAATGAGACCCTTAAACTGATCGTCCGTTAAAGAGCGTAGTTTGAGTTGTTCACATTCACGGTTAATCATGTCTCTTAAGGACCAAAAGTCGTCCGATTCCTGTATGACAATTTTCATGCATTGATAGCAAATACAAAACAAAGACACCGACTCACCAAAAATTTCTTTCCGCTGCGACGCCACTTCATCAAAGGTCAAATCCTTCGGCTGTTTGGGCAGAATGTGGTCTATGAACCTTGAGCATTCATTTTTTCCGAGCTTGCGGAGTAGCAACCGCAACTTCCAGGAGCCGCCCTGACGAATGAAGTCCGTCTGGAGCATGTCTTCCCAACGCTTGAACCACGCTTCAAAAGGGCATCCAGAATCCGCATCATAACTGAATTCAGTGATCGCGTTCGTGAGATCAACAGAACTCGCCTGCATGTACCGCGCCGCCTCTCCTGTTGTCTGCAAACTCAAACATTGTGTCAGATTTTTAATCATTTTCATTTGTGCCTCCATTTGAGCTTGCTGTTGAAAAAGCAGCATTCGAAAGTGTTCAGCAGAAAAATTCATCTTCCAATTTTCTCAGTCGCCATTTGTTATAATCTTCTCACTAGTCGCAATTCCAAAAAGAACAATTTACTGCTCCACAAAACTTCAAGCCCAACCGAAGGAAAAAGCAAAACGCCAATGACCTTGCCAAAATAACGTATCAATCGCCGTCAACGAACACTGTACAATGACTGCGGACCTTGGCTGTAGTTATCGATCTCTACTGACCTTCGACTTCTAGAGTTGGAAGGTCAACTGCCAAGGTCAGTGGTTCCCCATGTCTTTTGCCGAGGGGTCAGGTGGATTTTAATCACGTGCAGAAGAAGAACATTCCGAAACGTTTGAGATCGATACGATAATCGTTAATAATCGAGTAATCGCTTAAATAGTGAATTTCTAAGGCAATTCTTACTTTCTCCCAAACATGTTCACTTCGTACATCCGTCCAGTCTTAGAATATGCTTTCAAAGTTTAAATGCGCTTTGCTGGAAAAGGTTTAGAGATGGGCATCGAAAGCTGTTCTGGGCCTTCGTGATCTCCTTATCGCGTTCGATTCCAGGAGCTAAATCTGTTCTCCCTCGAGCTCCGCCGTCGCCGGGGGGATCTCATCTACACTAGGCACATCCTCCGAGGGGAACTTGGAAGTGAATTACAACAATTCTTCCGGCCCAACACTGACTGTTTTACACGAGGTCACACATGGAATCTGTTTAATCAAAGAAGGCAGAATTCGCATGCACGTCACGCTATCCACTAGAGTGGTGAATGATTTGAACATCCTACCGGAAGAAATTGGAGACGCTCCATCCGAGGAAAGTTTCAAGCGGCTGCTAGACAAATATTCTCTGAGAATGCTGGAATCTTGCGGCTGTCACTACAGTTGTGACGAACCCTCGTGGAACGTCGTAGTGCAACGACACGCATCAAACCCTTATCTTTGCACGATAGCCAGCTGTTTGTGACGGTGTGTTGTCTACATAAGGTGTAGGCGCCTTAACCCTGAATGTTTGCTTAGGGCATTAAGGTTTTCAGGTAAGTCCCCCTTCTCTCCCACTTCTTCTTCTTTATTTCATAGGTCCTCATGGTTGTATGGCAGCGAAGCATCAGTTCAAATGGCTGATGTACTGCTGTTGATGATGATGATGATGATCGGTTGGGCTAGAAGTTTTATGGAGCAGTAAAGTGTCACTTTCGGAATCACGTCTAGTGAGAAGATTATAACACCACTACAATGGATCATCACATTTCCGATGAGGCGGGAGATGTGTGTTCGTGTGGGGTTAGGTCTGTCTTCCCTGCAGTCAGTCCTCAGTGGGGTCTCGCAGGATTCGGTGCTTGGCCCATTGTTATTCTCTCTGTATGTCGATGAGCTGCCCGAACTGCTGGGGTTGCCATCTCTTATGTTTGCAGATTACCTCAAGTTTTGGCACACTGTCCGACCTCGATGCTCAGCCCGCGCGCGACTATTGGTAGTCGCGCGGCAGCGAAGTGCCGTTACGACGTACAGCTGACACGTTATCTATCGATGGACTCCAGACTCTGCAGCGGGCCCTCGATAAACTTTGGGACTGGGATGCTCTGTGTCGGTTGCCCACAACTTATGCAGTATTCCATATTACGATTAGGGCCAAGTGGTCCCCAAACGCTTTATCTGATTGTCGTGAATGAACTACAAAATGTTTCCCAACTGGCATACCTGGGGTCACGTTGTCTGCAGAGCTTAAATTCAGCGAGCACTGGAGGAATGCTACGTGCAAAGGTTTCAGAATGTTGTGGATGATCTGCATGGCACTCGGGACCATCACTGGCGATATATTTGTTAGCTTATTTTCAGCCTTTGTCAGGCCACATTTGGAGTACTGTACTCAGGCTTGTCCACCTTGCTTGGTCAGGAACAGGATGTCAGTGAAGTGTTGATAGTTAAAACAAAATGGTTCATAGACTGCAGAACGTTTTTTACCCAGAAAGACTACTTGAGCTGGGAATGTCCTCAATGTATTATCGTCAAAATCCATGCGACCTGATCTTGACTTATCGCATACTTACCGGTGAAATCGGACCCGATTTATCTGGGCGTTTCCAACCGACTCGGCTTCTATCTCTCCGAACTCACTCGATGAAGCTACACAAACCTCGATCAGATGGAGTCCGGGCAGACTTTCGTTTACCACGCCGAGTGGTGAATTCCTGGAATGCACTGAGCGAGTACGTGGTATTTGCACCAACGGCGAAAGAGTTCGAAAACCGACTTGCCGCTCTTAGTCTTCAGTACTTAATTTTCCTTTTTATTTCTTAGCTTATTTACCTTATTACATTATTAAATCTATTACTTTTTGGTTCTCAACGCTCTTTTTACTTTCGTACTTCTGTTTCTTATTTCACGTGAGCGGTGCGGCGGGAACTGCCAATGCAGGTCGCGTGGGTAATAATTGGTTGACCGTGGTGTGATTCGCGCGTGCTGAACTGACTCTTCTAGATTCCAGTTATCGCGGACGAATAATACCCCGGATCAATGACGCGCCACGGAAGAAACATCCATAGGGATTTATCCTACTGTTCCAGTCCCACTTGGAATTGAACCTTCAACAAATCCATCGTATTTAGGCTCTGCTTTGTCTCCAGTGGAAAACGCTACTCTTAAAACACATTTATGTGATGGAATCTTGCAAACCTCCTAATGATGCAAATCAGCACTTCTGTGCGGCGTTGTTTGTTCTTTAGCAATTACACGCACTCCATTGCACATTTCATAATGGCGGCCTAAGGTAACCAGCGTAGCTGATCATTTTCATTCCAAATGAACTGGGAAGGCGATTGTGCTTCTCTTCAAGGAGGGTGAAAAACTTGCTTCATGCGCGAAATGGTGGCACATCATTTCTTGTAATACATGTGTTAAGTGGCGTTCGTAGCTCCATTGTGCGGTTAAACTTGCGGGATGGGTCTTCAACATCGCTTGGTGACCTCCCTCGCCAACAACCTTGTTGAAGAATTGATTTGCCTACTCGTTATGCCCTTTGTCACGCGTTTATCAGTACGCTGTGTGAATATGTAATAATTTCACTCAGGTTCCATTTCGCGCTAGTTTTGCTGGATGCAAGGAGTCCGGCAATGGATCCGACGAATGAAAGGTCGATGGCGGTACAAAAGAAGAGCAACTATTGTACCATCCGTAAATATGTTATATACTTTATGTTAAAACGTCTACTTTACTGCGTAACTAAGTAAATCACCAAGCGTGTCGGCCTTTTGCAGGGGAAAAACGTCTCCATTTAGCCGGTTTTCGGGTGGTAAGCCGACGGTCCATTTCCATCCTACCGGCGCCCGTTCCAATAGCGCGCGACCCGGGGCTCACGATACAAGATTCCTTCAGGTAATCTTCACTAATGTGCGTAACCTGCGAAACAATTTGTGCGAGGTCGGCACCATGGTCGATTACTGTCGTCCAGATATTCTCGCGTTCACTGACGTGGTTGTCTGACGATGTCACGGACGGTGAAGCTGGCTTACCAGGCTAGGCACTGCTATGGTGTGACCGCGCTTCCGCTTATTGCGGAGTCGGCGTTGCTTTGTACATTAATTATTTTCCAAAACGCATGTATTCCGTTCTCCAGACAGTTCCGTCGAGGCGCCTGCGGTTAATTTGCGTATCCCCCATCCACAACTTCAAGTTATGCTGGTTTATAGAAGTCGCGATAGTGTTGCAAGGGGTCTACTGGATTAACGAAATTGATTACATTTTATTTGGTTTGTTCTGCGTACTTGATTACCTTCTCCCAACTTGCACACGTCGCTCATGCAAATTGTGGTGAACTTGCGTAATTTTATCGCGTGGTATTTTTTAAACAACTTTCAGACATTTTGTACTTATCGCGTATTTATCTTTAACCAATTTCTTCTATATGCTCCTTTTACGAGTATTTATATCGTCATATGCGTTTACTTTATTCGATATCGGCATTTTGAATGATTGGCTGTTGTTTGATATCCCAGGTGTGGCTGCGCTTGGTATGCACGTTGACAAGTTGCCTACCTGTCTAGTACCCACTATCTCGTTCATCTGGGTCCAGGAGACAGTTGGTCGTTGCTGGAGGGGAAGGGGTGCACGGTCCTTGTGGTCGTGCTGGGCTCGAAGCGTGGTTCCATGCACTCAGTGTGGAACGGACTGCGGTCCAGCCACCGCCTTGTGTGCACTTGATTCCCCAAATACAGCGTGCTTGTGTTTGCCTGTAAAGGAGTGTGGACCGGTTCCGTTGATGAAATGTGGCTCCCATCCGCATGTCTCCCGGTCTTAATCCTCCGGGTTTACACTGGATATGGGATGTGTGGTTGGAGCTGTGGGTGGTGCAGCGCAAGCCACCCATGGTCCCTCTGTAGGCGCAGGCGTCCTGTGGCTGGCCACAGTGGCAGGCAAATCCGAAACCGGATGCCGCCAACCATGTATGTATTCTCAACAACCTAGAAACTAGACATAGAGACAACAAAGCCATGGAGATTAGCAGATAAGGGGCAGTTGCTGCGTCATAATCATCGTGGCATGGTAGTTGAAGGTGAGCAACACACTTCAGCTAATATGCCGCAAGAAGAATGGAACATTTTGACAAAAAGTAGAACAAAACGTTTTTTGTTTTTCACACGCCGATTTTGCTTTTTTTGTCATTTTCAATGTTTATAGTATTAAACATGTGAATCAGTACAATACTGTACACAATTCTTCCGCTGATTCCGGTTACGGGTTATGTCTTCAAGAGTGCTAAGCCATTGGCACTCCTCATCTTTGGGTCCCCATCCTGGAAGCCGTACGGATCCATCAGCGGCTAGACACGACGTCAACGATTTCATGTGCTGCCTCCAAGGGGAAGGCTGACCACCACGCGGTCGCCTCCAGCCAGGTCTTTGACGAGCGAATAGAGCGCGATGCGGTAGACGCTCAGGTGCCATGCGCATGACGTGACCGAGCCATCCTTACTGGCGCAACAAAACCAGTTTGTTAAAGGGAATACTTGCATTCCCCAAGATACGACGTCGAATGTCATTACTATTAACTCGATGTTGCCACCAAACACGAGCGATCCTCTTTAAGCAACCGTTATCGAACGCAGAAAGATGACGCATGTCTTCCACGCGAATCGGCCAGGACTCGCACCCATACAACAATACCGAGCGAACTGATGCGCTGTAAACGCGTCCCTTTAGTGAGAATGAGACGTCGCGACGACGCCACAAGTGCCTCAAATTGACAACTGCTGATCTAGCTTTAGCGATA